GTCATATGTATACTTTTATGCACATAACATAATGCGTTTTATTAAAGCGTCTCACATGGGTCACCAGAGTAATTATGGGTTGGTCAAGGTGCAATGCCTGTGTAATATATCTTGACTGCAATTCCAATTTACAACAACAACTCGGCTTGACATTATTTTCAGAGTCTTAGCGTATGACATTCTCTGGCACAGTCTAAGGTTATTTCACAAGGCTCTAAACTAACTCTAGTTGTCTGTTCCTACCTTAAAAGCGATCAAGTCACAGTTTATTGCGAAAATCAAACTGATCGTTGTTGAAGAAATCAAATAGCATTTAATTGTTCGTATCATTACCATGAAATTAATATTTAAAATCGGTTCACTTCAAAATCATGCTCGATATACGAACAATACTTCGTTTGAAAGTTACAAGCATTTATAAGAATTTAAAGGATAATTCATAGGAATATAGCTTGCTTCTTAGACTGTTTTATTGCAGTATAGCACATATAAGGTCACAGTCTCTCACTGTGACCAATCGACTATTTGTAACTAAATTTCGTTTCAATAATACTCTTATGAAGAGTTTTGTAAGTTTTTTGGATATTTAAAACCGTTGTTAAATGAAGGATTGTATTATTACTTTCATTTTTGTACAGTTGAACTTTTGGAATTATTATGAAATCGCTTACTTGTTGATTCAGTTGACAAGCCGTTCGAAATGTTACATAAGTATAAGAAATTATAAGTATAAGACATTATAAATATTCCATTCAACTGTTTAAATTGTTAAGTACTTATCTCTTTGCAGGGTTCCTTTTTCTGTAACTTTTGTATCATTCCATTCGTTGTTCATTAATCTGTTTGCGGCTTTATAGCTTTATAGCACTTTGGTGCTCAGACTGAAAGTTCAAACTGCGAGCTCTTCATTACCCTTCTTCTTACCCTTCTCTACTCGCACATAACCTTGCCATTACACTCACCCCAGTTGTGTATAATACTTTACCGTTGCAGTATTTCATGTGTAATCGTGTGTAATTTTTAAGAAAATTGCACGTTTTGCCGCACCAAAATGCATGCCCACTACCCGATCCGGCAACCCTCGACACGTTTCTCCTGCCGGACCCAGACCCGGTCCCGCACCCACACCCACTCAGCAACCCTGAAAACAATGCAGCAAACTCATTACAAACGCCCAACAGGCTCATGTGTCTCATATGTGTGTGTACGTATGTAAGGGGCTATGTGTGTGTGTGTGTGTGTGTGTGTGTGAGTGTAGCATAAACTTTTTTGCGTACGTGTGCGTAAATAAATGTTGCATAAATAATTTCAGCCGAATGACTTAATGTTGCTTTGGCAGCCCCATCCTCATCCCCAACCCCATCCCCAACCCCATCTTCTTCCTGTGTGTGTGTGTGTGTGTGTGTGTTGGGTTTGAGGCGCATTATTGATTTTATTGTTTGTTTTTGTTGCTCAAGTTTGGCATAAAAGTTGATCATCGCCCAATTCCATAAAAGTTGCATTAACGGCTAGTTGCAACAACAACATTCACTTCCTTAAAGAATGCGGTGCAACTTTTGTGGCAATTGTCGTTAGTACGAGTATTTAATATGCATTTTACGCTAATTACAAATCAAAAGCAATTTAATGGCCAACAGCCGGACATCGACATCGACATCGCCATCGACATCGAGCGGCTTGTTGCAGGTTTTTAATCAAAAATTGCTTTGTTCCACATTTGGTTCAAGTCACTAAATGATGGCAAACGTGCTACAATTTAGTTTGGCTATTAATTACAACAACTTGCTGGCTGGCTGACTGCCTGACTGACTGGCTGACTAGCTGACTAGCTGGTTGGCTGAAATGGCAACGGCAACTGCAACGAGCAAACAACATGTAGAACATGTTGCCGTGCTGCAAAATTATTGATGATTTTATTAATTTGAATATTGCCTACGAATTGGATGCCGCATACACAAAACGTTGCGTCTTAAACAACGACGACGAGGACCATAAAGACGACGCTGACGCTGACGACAACGACGGCGACGACGACGACTTAAAAATGATAAATTTTTACCAATAGAAAGTTGCATGGAAATTGCAATTTATAGCGTAGCAGCGACACCGGCAATGTTGCAGTAAGGCAGGCAGGGAGGCAGGCAGGGAGGCAGGCAGCACGCAAAATGAGTATAATTAGACCGGTTTGTAATGTGACTGCAACTTGGGGCTTGGCACGCAGCTCTGGACCCAGCGAGTGTTGCTCATGTTGCTCTTGTTGTTGCTTATGTTGGTCTTGTTGTTGCTGTTGATGCGTCCCATGTAGCTTGTTGCTTGTTGCTTGTTGCCCACTGCTGCGCTCAAAATCAAGCTTACTTGATTTGAATTATAGTCGCGCTGGCGATAATTAATCGTGCTATTTAGTGTGCTACATGAAATTCTACTAGTTGCTGGTTATTGATTAGATTTTTGTTGCCGTTGCTGTTAGTTGTATTGGTGTTGCAGGAAGCGACATCGTTGTGGTTGCTGTTGTTGTTGTTGTTGCTATTTGCTGCGGCATGTCTTGACTTGGCCTGTGTAATTTAGACAGGCGCAAATTATATTTAATTTGTTTTGTGCATTTTGTCGTTACAATTTGCCAGCCAGTTCTGATGCGGCAAGCAAACTTTCACAACATGCTGCTGCTGCTGCTGCTGCTGCTAGGACTGATGTCGGCAACAACAGCAACACTAAAGCTCATTATACTGGTCAACTAGGCGCCCACCCAGTGATGTGCTCTCTCTATTTCTTCGTCTTCGTCTCTGTCTTTCTCTTTCTACCTTGCAGTCGCTTCAACCATCTCGCTTGTGCTTGCCACATGTTTGTGCGGCTGGCGTTGACGCATACTTAAAATTATATTGCTTCTCTTGCTACCTCCTCTGCCACTCCTGCCTCTGCCACTACGACGGCTTCGTGTTTTGCTTTGTTTTGCATTGTTTGCTTCTTATGCATATGCCATATGCCCCCGAGCGAAAAGCTCACACCATGCCACAAACACACATGCCACACACACACACACACACACACACACGCATGCACATACATATGCAGCCATTTGCATGCAACGTACAAAATTAATTATTACGCCTTCTCCCCAAACAACTTCGGACCGTTTGCTGCCCTCTCCCAAAAAATCTACAAACCAAAACCAATGCGCCTGCCAACTCTTGGACATTGCCTGGTTCCTACAACTGAAATGTGCATGTATGTGTGCATATATGTATGTATGCATGTCCATGCATTGCATGTCCTGCTCACAACTTGCAACTTGAGTGTGTGTATGTGTGTGTGTATATATTTGTGCCTCATTATGACCAACGACGTCGGCGACGTGGCCGGAAAAGTGCGTTCGTTGACTGCTGCCGGCTGCCTGCTGCCAACCAGCTGTTGGGCGGAAAGTGTGGGGGAGTAGGGGAGGGCAGGGCAGGGCAAATGGTGCGAGTGGCGAGTGGCGAGGGGGTGTCTGTGTAGGTATAAGTGTGAGCTGCTTGGTTGTTGCATTGGTCATGGGCCTTCCATTATTACAAGTGCAGACAATCAGACACTCACTCACCCACACATGCGTGTTGAATAGTTTGGCTTGCCACACACACACACACACACACACACACACACACACGCTTGTACACCCCCTATAGACCCCTTTGCATAATGCATTAAAATCAACGCCCGCTTTGTGTAGTCGAGGACATCAACTTCAGCAAGCTCGGGGCTATTTTCCCTAGCATTTTTCTGGCTGCTCGATATTTTTGACATTTCCAGTGTTTGCTTGAATTGTGGCTACAAATTGGCAAAGCATTGCCTACATTTAGGCGCATTACAGCCGAATTGCTTGAATTGTAAGCCAATTTTTCGTCTAAGCCCATGGCTTTTACTTGGCTAGTTCAAGCTCTGTCGAGGTTCGCTTAGCCCTCAACCTTATCTGGCCTCTTGGTCCTGCTTAGCTTTGTTTTACATAAGAGTCAGCTACGCATACAAGCGTACATACACATACACGTATACACGTGCATTTATACGTACACTTATGTAGTAAACTTTCTTGCCGCCGACATGGTCTGCACACACACACAGACACATATGCCAACCCCCCTGGCATATAAATTATAATGCCGAGTAGGTGTAAAATTTTCGATTACGAGTGCAAGCGGTCTGCTCGGACCTCTGTGCGAGAACCATGTTGTGGTTTGTCCACGCAGACGAGCGGGGGACTTCTTTCTGCATCTGCAAGTATATACATATATATATAGATATATAAACGTATATTTATACGTCGGTAGGTGTGTGTGTGTATGTGTCTGTGTCTGTGTGTGTGGGCCTGCCTCACTGTTTATGTTGTTGTTCTTTATGTAAGAGGCTTTTGTGTTCGTTTGAGAATGACCCACGAAGACGACGAGGACGACGACGACGTTTATAATTAATGGAATTAATGTGCTGGTGTGGGTTTTAAGTGCACGAAATATGTTCGATAATGTCTGTGCGCATAAAATGCAAACTCTAAATAATGAATAATAAGCGTCTTGGACTTTATCAGACCCTGTTATTAGTACTTTAAGATATAACGGAGATATCATTGACAGCTGGAAGTACTGGAGCTGTGCTTTACTTTCAATTAGTATACCCTGCAGTACAAAATTAAATAGCCGAGCTACCAAAGCGTAATTTTTATCAAAAACAAAAACGAATATAAAAGCTATCAAGCTTTATCATCTGCACATCACTTTAGTGGAACAATTACTTTAAGAAGAATAATGTCTAACAAACTACATATGTACTATATGTATAAGAATATCCTAGGCTAATATTGTGTTGCATTTTTTTGGTCTATTGTGCGTGGTGTACAGTTGCCACCGGGCTACCTTAGTCAGTGACCGGTCTTAGGGTGTTGGGGCCGTGTGCTGTCGTTGTCTGCGAATGCAATGTTATTAAAATTAATGTGTCCTTTTTGCCCACATATACTAATTAGCCTTCGTATTGCCTTACAGGAAGTGAGTGAGAGCGCTGCTAAATTGCAAATGGATGCCTGCAACGCTGCTGTTGTCTTCGTTGCCCGCCCCCGTGCCGACTGACATGGCCGAGGGCTGCGAGGATTCTGCGGGCGCTGCTGAAACCACGTGCCACAAACGTCACACACACGATTCAACGGCGGCACAGTACAAGCTCGACAAGATGTTGGGCACGGTGTTGCCCTGTGAGGTGGCAACTCTGGCAGCACCAGCCAGCAGCGGAAGCACCAACAATAGCACCAACAGCAGCAGCAGCTCTGGGAGCATTGTCAAGCGAGAGTTTTGCGATGGCACCGTTTTGGGAAGCAGCGCCAGTCCTACACAGAATCATAATAACAACAACAACACAACTAGCAACAACAATAACAACAACAACAACAACAATACCAAAATGCCAACACTTGTTTGTGCGGCAAACAACAGCAACAACAACGGGAATGCTGGCAATGCTGCCAACTCCAGCTCCAGTTCATCATCTTCGTCATCATCATCCTGCTCGTCTACATCGTCCTCCAGCTCGGCCGTCAGCACGCTGACCAGCTGCACCACCGCGGCCATTGTGCCCTCAAATTGTTCCACAAATGCCAATAAATCGCCCGGTTCGCCATATTCGCAGAGTGCGGCGGCAGCTAGTCCGCTGAGAGAGACAAGTCCTAGCCACTCGCCATCGGCATTGGGGGCCACAGCTGGCACAATGCCGCATTCACCACCCTGCGCCGTAACTCCAGCATCGCCGACAACAACAACCACATCGTCATCGTCGCATGTGCTGGCGCTCAACATCAAGACAGAGTCGGTGAGTCGCAATCAGCAATTGATTATTATAAGCTGTTTTTTTATATTTTTGCATTTCATTTTGAGCAACTTTTTAGCAACTGTCTGTGTGTGAGTCATGGCTTTAATTAGCAGACAATTTCAAATGTACACCAGCCTTAATTAAACAACAAATTCACACGCAGCTAATCGCATTGAAATCTCAAAGCAGTCCAACAACATGTTGCCACAAAGTTGCAGGCAACATTTTTTCCAAAGTGGAGCAACAATCAAGGGCACTGGCCAAGTCGCCGGACTTGCCGTCAAAATCCAACAGTTTGATATAGCGCGCCAATAGCCCCCGCAGGCCATATCGTGCTCTAGACACTGCACAAAAACACAAAACAACAACAATGGCCATAGCAGCGCCAACAACGAGAGCAACATTAGCGAGCATGACCAAATATTTGTCCCAATTTTAATGACCATAGAAACTGTGCAGGCAACCACAAACAAAACAAACTGAAACTTTGTGCAATTGTCAGCAATAAATAAAAATTTCGCATGTCCTCTTTGGATAGTGCTGTTATTATTATTGTTGTTGTTGTTGTTGTTGGTGCTGCTGCCTGCCTGCCTCCAAGCGTTGCGCCGGCGCATAGTTGACCAGCGACTCAGCAACAATTGTTGCGGGCTTTTCAAGTTTATTTCTGTTTAATTTCGTGCTCATTGCTTGTGGGCTCGCACATAAAATATACAAGTTATTATTATTGAAAATGGGGCACTACTCTAAGATCTCGAATTCTGGATATACATATACTTATAGTGAAAAGATTTCCTTAAATACGCAGCTGCTCCGATGTTTGCATTTCAATTAGCTTAATCAACAGAACAGACTTTGTATCTAGACTTACGAAACGAATACAGAGTTTTGTGCTCTACTTGCAGGCAGGCTATTATTTACTTAAACCGTTCTATTTTATGGAACGCAATACTTTACTAAGTAATACTTTTTAATTGATCGCCACATAAAACTTTACACTACTTCTTGGGACTACTCTTAATTCATTTGTATTTTATATTATTTTTTGTTGTATTTCTTTCTGACAAAGAACTGTCAGGACATGGAAACATACACATAAACTATGAAAAACGAAAATTATAAAATTACAAAAGTTCTTCATAAAAAATTAGAGTTTTAAAGTACAGTCCCGTTTTAAATTTATATTAAGATAGTTATAATATTTTATTCTAAGCTTTGGATATGCAATGCATTTGACAGAGCTCTCAGGATCTAACAGATGACTAAATTGATTGAAAAGAACCCAGAACGAAGTGTGCAAAGCGTAGTTAGTGGCATAGCGAGTTAAACTTAATGATGTACAAGATCTTGTAGGTCTTTGATCGATAGTTAATTTATATATACCAAGAACACCTAATAAAATTCTATGATTAGTAAGTGATGGAAGATCTAATAGTTGTAGCCTGTGAGAAAACGGTGGTAAAGAGTCGGTTCTACTCCAACCAAGACCACGAAAAGCAAATTGTTTTTGAACAGCTTCAATGCGATCTTTATGTGTACAAACTTATAATTTTATTAGGGTTTTTGAATTCTTTTGCTCAACGTTTAATAATCATAAATATCATATTTATTTACCCAGATTTCCTATTCACTTTTTATCTATGACGATCTTTAATGTTGGGTTTTGTAAAGTAATATGATCACATTTTATAAACTAATTGCTCAAATAAATACATTTGAGCAAGTAGTATATATGAATCTCTTATGCGAATTTTTTAACAGCTAGTTGTATCTTGATGTTTTGCTGACAAAATCAGCTTACGTGGCACGCACGCACATTAAATATACGTAGTACTTACCGGCGCCACCCGTAGTTGTCTAGAAACCTCAAAGCAGTTTGTAATGCTCAGGTCTACAAAATGTTGTAAAAGGCAATTAATAAAAGTAAAACAAAAATAATGCAATAAAAAGTGCATAAAATTTATGTGCCTGCAGTCAAATGAGTAATCGCGCTTGGGCCAACAGCGACAACAACAACATGTGGAACAACAGCAACGACAACAATAATAACAACAGCCAGCACTTATTGAAAAGTTAAAGAAAAAAGAAATATATGTAGTATATATATGAAAAAACCGCAATAATAAGCACAAAATAATCAGCACACACACTCAGAGTTGGCCACAAAAAATAATGAATAAAAAAATGTTCGCCGGGGCAAACAAGAAAATCCAGGTGCAATAAAAATCATAACGAAAAGCCAAATGCACAATGCAATGCGCAAGAGCTGGCGAGAGGAAAGTAGTGGGGGCATGGGGGTTAAGAAAATATATTACAGCTAATTATGAACAAAGCTATGGTGGGTTAAGGGGGGCGCACAAACAACTGGCCGGTTAGCTACGCAATTTGACGGTTTCGGTCTTTATTGCTGTTGTTGTTGTTGTTGTTGGTTTTGAGGCCAAGGCGCTGCTGCGCATGTGTAGCAGGCGGCAACTCATGGTACCCGCTGAGACAGAGTGTCTGAGTCATAATTGTGCGCCTCTAATGAGCCAAAGCGCAGGCTTGGCCCACAGGCTCTGTTCTGAGTTGGTGAAAGTACAGCCAGCCATGTACTCGTACTCGTACTCTAATTTAAGTCGCTAATTATAAGTTGAGCTGTCGCACGACGTTGTGCGCTCGGCGGGCAACACGCTGCGCATGCGTAATGAGCCTCTTGGCAGTTGCAGGCCAGGCTCAAGCCTGGGCTTCAATTTCTGCAAGTTCTACATACGGGCCAAATGGTACGTGCGTGCGAAGCGGATTTACTTTGCTTGTGGGTGTGCGTGTACATGTGTGTGTGTGCATGTGTGTGTGTGTATATGTGAGGTTGTCTTCTGGTGTACTCTGCGCATGCCTCACGCCACCATTGTCGTGGTCGTAGCCATCATCATCATCATCATCATTGTCATCATTATTGCCAGCGTCATAACCGGTTTTGCATTTACTTTAAATGTTGCAAATATTTAAGCGGGATTATCCACACATACACGCACACAAACACACACACACACACACGCGTATGAGTAGAGGGGCCTGCTGCAGTGTGTTGCATGTAAATTGTTCGTAATTAGTTAAAAGTCTTGGCGCGTATGTGGCAAAGAGGAGCACACAATAATTGCTTATTATAAAAAGTTTTTTTTGCACAAATTTTTATGACAGCTAAATAGCGCGAAAATTGACTGCAAATGAGATAGGCTAGCTGCCTTGAGGTGAACGGAAAGGCTTCAAAAATGTATATGATATATTATTAAAATTTATTTAAGCATGAGAGGAAAATGATTACAGGGATCGTTACTGTCGATTAGATTTGCAATACTAGTAAGAGTTAAATGAAATAATAATAATGTATGTGCAACTAATCCTTTTAGTACTTTTATTTTTACAAAATTTCAGTTGAAAACGGGTCTAAAGACTTTTTATTCTTCCTGAAGAAATGTAAATTAGCAAAGGCTGAAATCGCATGTACACACAAATATTTTAGCTTTGCCTAAATTATCTGCATTGCACTGAATTTAAAGAATCTTGGATTATTTTATTCATTATTTTATTTTGCCTGACTTCATGTACTCCTTAGTAGAACGGTATTGGTTTAGAGCCGAAGTTAATTACCCAGCTCATCACTGAGTCCCCTCAACTTCAAGTGTCTTCTCTGCCTTTGCTTCAACTGTTTTTGTCACGCTTTCACCCCAAGACACTTTGGCAGCAGCTCAAGACCCGCCAACCCCACCAACTGCCCCAATAAAACAAGCCGGCCCGTCAAGTGGCTAAGCGCTTGTCGAAGCCAGAAGGCAAGACCCGAATTCCATGCAGACATATTTGTTGCTGTTTATATTTTTTAATATTAATTTAAAATTAATTACAAATAAATTACCGAGCAATTTGTGTCTTGTGTCGGCTTGAATGCTGTTGTTGTTATTGTGGCTTTTGGCTTTCTGCTGTTGTTGTTGTTGTTGTTGTTGCGTTTGTTGTTACCGTTTTTATTGTTGCGACGTCAGCTGCATGCAACTTGCAATTGGCCATGCATTTAATTAAAATTTAATTATAAAGCAGGTTACACGTACTGTCAATAATCATCAGCCGCATTATACTAAGTTGCAGTTTTGTGTATAGGATCGCAAGTTGATTTTGACGTTCAGCTCATTTTTCACGTTCAGTGTGTCCGTCCGCCCCTCCAGTCTTGCAACATTATGTGCATCACGCCACTTGCATTAATTTCATTCAATTTACGCAAAAACTGCGAACGAACGAACGGCAATTTGCCATCGTCTTAATTATGGTGGCATTAAAATTGGCTACAATGTTGTTACTGTTGTCCACATTTTTGCTTAAATTAAACGGGGTTGTGGTTGTTGTTGTTGTTGTAGTTGTAGTACATAGCTGTTACTGCTGTTTCTGCTGTCTTTCTGCCACAATGTTGATATCATAAATTGAAATGAATGGAATATTGCGTGCTAATAACTGCCTAAGTGCTCATATTGATAGGAAAAAAGGCAAACAGATCTCTATGGCCATTAGCTACATGCTCTTTAGAATCATTACCATCATTACAAATCAGTTGTACGATTTATATATGCATGAAAAATATATTTATATCCAAAAGAACAAGTATGTATATGTTTATAATGGAGCAAAGGTACGGAAATTAGCTAAATTCTAAGGCTATTAATCACAAGGCAGTAATAAACTAATTTGTTCCTCGACGGATGTATAATGCGGGCTCAGATATCGCAGACTTAGTGATTAATGCGATTAATAAAATGACTTTAGAGATCGTCTTACGTAGGAATGCGAAATACTACGGCAATTCTTAAATAAGGATATCCCTAAGAAGGGGTTGATGTGTGGGCGAATTATCATCTTGTAGCGCTTCCGTTGAGAATGTTTTCTTTTTTTTTATTATATAAGGCTTTGAAGATTCCTGTGAATAATCATTAATTTTCAGTCTACGTTTGAAGGCAAAGTTAGTTGAAAGGCACTATTGGTCT